ACTACAAAAAAAAAAAAAAAAAGGATTTTACCGTAATTACAAGTAAGATGCATAGAGAGTACTTCTCTATAAAGTTAAAAAAAATGCATTCTTAGTTTTCAGTATGCAGTCATAATTTTGGAAAGGTTTTTCAAAGAATTTAAATACTTGTCTCCTTAAAATTGTCATTATTTTTTCCCTTTTTATTTTAAGAAATAAAAGAAGGAAAACATATTAACAAACAGACATCCATTTACAAAACAGCATAAGAGCAATGCAAACAAAACAGAGTTACAGACAAAGTTGTCAGAAATTAACAATGGTTGTTGTTTTACTTATTGATATCTTCAAAGTGGTTTCTCAAGAAAACAGACATGTACACGATTGATCAAACAAGTAATAGTTAGCTATTCCTTTCTGTAGAGGAATAGAAGATAGTAGTACAACTATGTTAGCTATCCTGTGTATACATACTTACATATTTTCCCCTTCTTTCCCTTCTCTTTTCCCACACCTCATTTGACCTTTACTTTTGAGCATTTTCCTTTCGTTTCACAATGTCTGTCATACCTCCTAGCTTTTATTCACTCCTTCAGGTCTTACACTAGTGATCTCTTTAAAATTAGCTTACTTTAAAATCAGATTTAACCAGAAGCCCAACATTTTGTTGCCTGTCAATTACTAATCTCTTTTTAAAGAAATTTTTGATTTTTGATATAATTTGTGCAACTTATTTTGCTAGATAAGATAGATAAACTGAATGATAGCTTTTTGAACTAGATGGTATGGGATATGAAGCCTGAAAAAAATTCATCTAGAGATAAAACATTAAAATGGTGAGGACAAACTATTGGAAAAGCATTTGTTAATGGAAATGCACTTTGTATGGTGATAGTGTTAATTATGATGTTTCTGCTGTTAATTGGTAAATCGCCCAGAAGTAGTAGTGAAGTCTCTGATCTCTGTCAAACTGACAGCATTGTCACCCACGCTGCTCAGAGAACGATTATTCCTCTGCTAGACATAAAATAAATTTTAGGTTCCAACAATCCAGGTCAGCACCTTTACTTACAGAAGAGGAAACTGAGGCATATGGGGGCCAGGTGACTTGTTTTTGATGACCCAGCAGGGAAAGTTGAGCAGGACCTTGCAGCCAGAACCGCCTTACTCCAGGCCTGTGCTACTTGTGCTTTATAGCTGCACCGACAGATTTTCCTTTCCAGAACTCTTCCTTTCGGGGCTTACCCCCATAGATAGGTCTTTTGCGTCCAATTCCACTGGACAAGGGAAAATAATCCTATGTGTGACTATCATCCAGCCTCTGCCTGTCATTTGACCATTTCACCTAGACCCTGGAAACACGAGGCTTCAGCTCTGTGCTGTCTGGTGTCCAGGGCAACATGCTGGGATGACAGCATGCATCTCTGTGATTCGCAAATTAGAGCTGATGGATGGGAGGCCACTAATAAAACGTCACATCTCATAGATGTGGATAAGCCACGGGGCCAGTGATAAAGTGAGACCAGTGGGCTCTGACATACGCGCCTTCCCACCATATTACTGACAGGGGGGATCGTATTGATCAAGCTGCCAAGATTATCCTATTATGCAATTAGAATATTAGATTTGCATTTTTAATTCCTTTAGAAGAGATTGGCCTGAGGCAGTAATGGCAGGAAAATATTAAGATGGATCCAGCTTCTTCAAACACAAGGATTCTGAGGAAGGAAGCTTTTTGGAAGATGCAGTTGTTTTCAGATAAAAGTTTCACTCATAGAAAGAAACAACAGAAAAGTAAGAACACAGCCAGGTAAGTGGAAAGGGCTCATACAGGCCAAATTTTCCTCTGAAAAGGAGAGCAAAACACACTAGTTTCAGGACTCAAATTTGCCCAGGCAGTGATGTTCTGTTTCATTCTGTGTGAGCACACATGCGCACTACGCTTTGGGTTTCTCCTTCGCACTGATTTCCACATTTTTCTAAGTCTTTAGACAGTGCTATGTGTTCTGATCCTTAAGGCATGTGTTTACCTCTTGTACCAGCTCAGCCAGCATCCCTTGAAGAAATTTGCTTTCTGCAGTGGTTGTTGGAGGCTTGGCTTCCTGGGTAACTGAAGACAACTAGGCCTCTATGATGGACTCTACAATCCAGACAGACCCAGGAAGGTAGACCTGGTGCCTGGAAGCCATATTGGCCACAGAGAAGCACAATAAGTACATGTACCTGAGGAAAGAACTAGGACCAAGACATTAAGGTTAACTGAGGCCATAAGATTAGGGCTGTGACACAATGGGATAGTAGCCTCATAAGAGGAGGAGGACAGACCTAAGCCAGGAGTCAGCCCCTCACATGTGATGTTCTGTACTGTGTCACAGCTCTGTAGGGTGTCCGCATCAGCTAGAAAGACCTTATCAGACACAGTCACTTGATCTTGAACTTTCTAACCTTCAGAACCATAAGCCAAATAAAACTCTTTTCTTCTAAATTACTTATCTTGTGGTATTCAGTTATAGCTACAGGAAACAAACTAAAACAACCCTGTATGTTGGACATGGTCCTAGGTGCTAGAGCCATTTTGGAAACTGAGAGCTCAGTCTTGACTCACAGGGGAGCCCAAAGGTGGATGCTGTGTAGGACAAGGTGAACTCTCCAGAGCAGTGTGTGTGTGTGTGTGTGTGTGTGTGTGTGTGTGTGTGTGTGTGTTGGGAAGGTTGAGGGTGGGAGCAAGATGCCAGCATATACCAGAAAATCTTTTCTGACTCCACTTGCAAAGGAAGTGAACTTCCCAGCAAAAGTCATGATGCCATGAATCAATGTGAATAATGTATTTACAATGCATGGGATGACTCTGGAGGGCTTGAGGACCTTGTTCTCATAGGGAACATTCATTACTTCACAGGATCTAGTGCTCTTCATACACTATGTAAGGACAAACTTGTCCCATCCTCGCTGTGTGTAGTGTCAGATTCATTCCATCCCTGGGCTCTGATGAGATTTGTTACCTGAGGTCTTATAGGGTTCCCATGACACACTGCCACAAGTTGGGTGGCTTAAAACAATAGCAATTTCTTCACTAACAGTTCTGAAGGTCAGAAGTTCAAAATGAGGCTGTTAACAGAGTTAGTTTCTTCTAGGGGCTCCGAAGGAGAATGCATTCCATGCTTTCTTCATCACTTTTGTGGTTGCAGTAATCCTTGGCATTGCTCATGTGCAGATACATTGATCCCATCCCTGTCTCCATCTTCATGTAGTCTGTGCATGCTAGTTTGGAAAAGTGCCACTCAAATACCCATCCATTAAAGCTTTGGTTCCCAGGGTGCACTACTGGTAGATGAGGAAATCCTGAGGAGGAGGGGATTTGCGGGGTGAGAGTCCTTACGTTACTTCCAGCATCCCTTGAAGGAGATTTGGGGATCCTGGCCCCTTCCTGTTCTGTCACTGGCTCATAATATAAGTGGCTTTGCTCAGACATGTGCTCCTGCCGTAAAGTGTTACCTCACCACAGGCCCGAAACAAAGGGGCCAATCATGGATCAGAAACACTAAAACTGTGGACTAAAACTAAACCTTTGCTCTTTATAATTTTAATTATCCCTGGTATTTTGCTACAGTGAGAGGAAGCTGATTAACACAATCTGTCAAAACTTCCTCTGGCTTTTTCTTACAACAACACCTGTCCTTGGTTTTAGGTCCCAACATAAGCCCAGGATGACTTTATGTTGAGATCTTTAATTTATATCTGCAAAGAATTTTTTCCAAATAAGGTCACTTTTGTAGGTTCTGGGGTGTTATGATGTGGGCATATGCTTTTGGAGGCCACTATGCAGCCCACTTTATCTGATAAATGATTGTCCCTGGGATTTGTAGATGGTGCTAGTTCCATCTATATTGTATACTATGGTGTGGGGATAAGAAGGTCCCAGAACATGGGGCTCAACCCTATAACTTGCTTGGGCCGTGAGGGTGCTCCTCTGAAGTGTAGCTGTAGAGCATCCTCTGGGTGAGAGGCCAGAGCTGCAGATGCAGTGGGTGTCAAGCACCAAAGGTATGTGTCCCCTAAGCCAGCTTCTTCAAGCAAAGCTGTTCATGAAGCTCAGAGCAGAACTGTCAGCAGTGTCACCCTGGAATCCGGCGGACAAAGATGAATGGAGTAAACATGTAGTACCACTGATTTATCAAATGATTCTCCCTAATGAATCCATCGCATTCAATAGAAACCACATTAGCAATTCCTGTTATTGGTCTTATCCATCCCAAAGTCCTGAGGTTCACTTAGTACTCATATGACCCATTTAAAGGAAAAAGAAGAAAAGCTTAGATTTTTTTTTCTTTGTAGTGTAAAATACTTGGACAAAATAATGCAAAGAAATACACAACTGAGACCTTTTTCCCTTTTAAAGAAATAGCAAGTTGACTATTACTCTCGCCCCACAGGACAGCGAGGTCCTAATCAGTTGTTGGTACACCAGCATGGCACTGTGAAAAAGTGTGGTTCACATTTTATCCTTTCAGTACCACTCCTGTATTCTTGGTAATTTCTGTGACTATATTTCTCACATTTTGGAGCTGTGTCTTTGCTTTCTTGTTTTAAACAACATGACAGAATTTTGAGTCCCAACAATTGCAAAGTGTGTTAAATTTTCCATTTACTTCAGCTCAGCAAACATTACTAAGCATCCAATGTGTACCAAGCCCACTGGCGAAACTGTTCAGATGTAAGGAGAAATAGACGTATGCTCTTTCCTGTGAGTATTCTGAAGCTTTAAGATCCCTTGTATATTTATAAGATGTATTCTTTAACGTGTGCTTTTGAATGGTAGTAAAATGGGGACCGCAACTGGTGAGTTCAAGCCTCTGAAACTTTAACTGAGATCTTTACTCTCTTCAGCTTTCAGCTGATAAGAAAAAAATGCCATAAGCTCTTCTCTTTTGGACTTTTGGGAAAAGCACAAGCGGTTCAGACAGTGATGCCATTCCCAGGGTACAGCACCACTAATTTGGTCTTTGTTGTTTTCTCTGTAGGCTGAAGCTTAATTTGGATATCAGCAAATTGAAACTCAAGCTCATCCATCTTTTCTGTAAGTTCCCTGTCCCCCACCCACACCATCAATGTGTCAATACTACTGCTCTGATTCTCCTGTAAAAAGGTGGAGAATGGCAGATGTGTCGTTTTATTTCCTCAGCTTCTAGAAAGCTGATGGAATATAATTTTAAGTAGGTAAAAGAAGAGGTAAAAATTATTTAACAGTGTATTTTATTTAATTTAACATATCCAAAGTATTGTGATTTCAACATATAATGAGTATAAAATTTCATGAGATATTTTATACTTATTTCATTTTGAGGCTTTGAAATCTGATGTGTTCTTTATATTTTTGGTACAAATCAATGTGGACCAGCCATATTCCAAGTATTAAGTAGCCCTGAGTTTTTAGTGGCTGTCATACTGGATACGCAGTTACAGATGAAGAGTTAAAATTGACTCCTATTGGCCGTGCCTATTTAGAAGCCCAGCTGGCAAGGGACATGGGGAAGCAGCACCTGTGACACAGAGCAGAGTGTGGCAAAGCATCTGATCCCCAATCCCCGATAGGCATCTGCTGCTGTGGATCAGTAGCTTTAAAGAAGTTCTGCGGTTTTGCAACAGGTTTGTGATCTGCTTATGTTTCATGACTAATTTTAGAAATAGTTTGTGCACCAAATTTACCAATGACTGTGGTGGGAGGAGATGCCAGCCCGGGAAGCAACCCTTGGTTGTAAATGTGGATAATCAAGGGATGATCACATGCATCTTCCCTTTTGCCTTCTCTGTATTAGTCACTTTATTGTCACTGAGACAAAATACCCAACATATTCGAGTTGCCAAGGGAAGGTTTATTTTGCTTATAATTTCACAGGGTTCAGCCTGTGTGTGGTCAGCTTACCCAAGGCAGAAGTAGCTTAGGAGAAGGGCAAGTTAAAGGAAAGCTTCCCGTCCCACCACAGCCGGGAAGCAGAGAGACAGAGAAAGGAGGATCCAGGGCCGAGTACACACCTTCTAGGTCAAGTATCCAGTGACCCACCTCTTCTGACCAGGCCTCAACTTCTACTGGCACATTCAGCTATGGACCCAGCAATGGACTAACCCACTGGGAGGTACACCACTCCCATGTCTAATGCTCAGAAAGCCCCACCTCTGAACATGTGAGACTTTCAGAAAGCATTTTAGATCTAACCATCACAGAGCCCACTGTCTTTCCTTGCAGCCCTGAAATGCTGGGCTTCCTCCCAGTTTCTGGTCTGAATCCACAGCCTCGTTCCTCTTGGGCAGTAAACATTTTCCATTCAGGACATCACTTCTGTTTGTTTCACAATCTGAAGGAGCTGAGGGTCACCTCTTGGGTCCAGGATGAACCTGTCTGAAGGGACACACTTATCCAACAGGGTTTTGTTTTGTTTGGTTTTGGTTTGGGGAAGTACAATAAATTTTAAAATTACTTTTAGCATTGAATGATGCATTAGCAGGATAGAGTTCCTTGATCCCAGCCTTGGGAGGGGAAGCACATAATGCACAGGGAAAAATCAGCTACCTTTGTGGTCTGTTGTTGCTAGGGGCCTCTTATATGCTTTGCGTGTAGCTCACTAAAGTCTCATCAACTTACTACACAATGAGACTGTGTGTTAGAAACAGCTATGCCTTCCCAATATGCAGAGGAGGATACTGATGTTTAAGTAAGTTGGCCAAGATGGCAGGTTGCTAGCGGTGGAGCTGTGTGTGGAACCCGGGAAGCTTGGCAGTAGAGTCCATGTTATTAACCACTAATTTGTGCTTCCCTCTGACCTATGTTAACTGCTGCGAGGGTCAGCTGAGGAGTCCCCAGAGTCCTAACCTCGATGTATTGGGCTCTGATCCCCAGAGGGCTGGTGGTGTGGGTGGGGAAGCTGCTGAGATGAGGCTCTGAGTACCATGTTATTGCAGGGCACTTAGTTGCTAATTGCCATTTAATCACAAGATGAAGGCAGTTACTTCTTTTCTCCCTCTACCCGAGTGCCAGGGAGACGGTAATTACTTCTGAACTAAGTGCTGAAAATGTGGCTTTGCTCAGAGCTGGAGCTAAATGCTACAACTCCCCTTTGAGCCACCACATTCCTCGGCAGGACTTGTTTACCCACGTGGCTAATTAAAAACATCCCTTTGCTATCAGATGTTCATTCCTAGTTCCCCATTTCTCTTACGTGGTGACGTTTTGTCCCTTGGAAATTTGATTTTTAAAATTACAAAATTTGGACTTCATATTTGGGAAATATAAATAAACCAAATTTTTGTAGAGGTGACCTTACATGTAAGTCGACAATGAAAACGGAAAGCTGCGTTTGGGTAGCTTTGCATTGAAAATGAGTGGATGTAGAAATTTGTTTTTTCAAAGTAAAGAACTTTATTTTTTTGTTGTTGTTGTTTTTTTTTTTTTTTTTTTCTCCGGTACCGGGAACCGAACTCACGACCTTGCACTTGCCAGGCAGGCGCTTTTGCCGCTGAGCTAAATCCCCAGCCCCCAAAGTAAAGAACTTTATAAGGAGTGGAGGAAGGACTACTTTTGTTTTCTAGTGTGTAAAGGTTGGCAAATGTAAAACGTCACATGGAATTTTTCTAAACGTGGAAAAACAATCTATTGGATCTTTCTTCCAAGTGACTTTTCAATGGGTCTGTCTGGGGTTTACCTACTTTTCAGCGAGTGCAGTAAAAATGAACAGGTTAAGCAATTTATTTAAAAATAGCTCCGTTGATGAATGTAATCCTTGTTTTTTGTGCTCCAGTGAAATATCCTGGGTGGCACCTGAAGATTAGGACATCTTCAACTCAAGAAAGACCTAAGCACTGTCATCCAGGCTTGGAATAAATGTGCATCTCCAAAACTGGTCACAGCAGTGCAATGTTTGGATGCAAGGAGTGTATAATGCATGTGTGGTCTCTGCATTCAGGAGTCCTGTGTGTCATGGAGGTGTGATGAAAATTCCGATCAGGTAGCATCCAAGGTTTAAGTGATCACTGAGGTCTCAGTTTAGGATTTTATGTTGAGACTTCTGTGGATAATACTGTAAGTGCCATGACAAATAAACTTCAAATACCAGTTTACACAGTAAGACAGTAACTCTCGATCTTTGGCTCACCCTAATCCCCTTGTTACGATGGGAAGTGGTAGGCCCTACCTCCCCGCAGAGTTTCTGATTAAGTCTGGGTGGGGCGTCTGAGGATTTGTATTTCGACAAGTTTCCAGGTGGTGCTTATGCAGCTGATGTAGGGATCATAGTTTGAGATCCAGTGGACTAAGTGCTTGTTTCTTCCTAGCATCACAGTCCTCCAGGAGTGCTTCTAGCTGCTTCACCCTCTGGGGAGGATCTCTTCCAGTGGCAACTCAGAAACCCCAGGTCCTCACCTAGAAGCTCTTCCGTCCCTAAGACTATTCTGTAGCTGGTCACAGATGGCGAGCCTAAGTTGGGTCTCTCGTCTTTACTTACATTCCACTGGCTGCAATCTAGTCTCGTGGCTCTACCTTGACTGTAAAAGTGAGCTGAAAACTGCCTGTCGCTGGGTTCTCAGGAGGGATAGGAAACTGAGTTTGAGGAAAATGCAATCATTTCGGTCACACTGAAATTTATGAATGCCTTCCTCTTATTCTTCCTTCTCCATCTAGGACATGGTGGAGCTATTCTCAGTCATTGATTTTTGAGAGTTTAATGAGTTTCCTTAATCCTCCCGGAAGCACACAGCGCACTTCATCTCTAATAACTAGAGCTGGGTGAAACGTGCTCCCGGTGTTCCTTCCTGGAGCGATGCTACTGTGTTAGCGATTTAGTGACGTGAAGGATTTGCTCGCAGCTGGAATCAGACCAGCTCTAGGACAAGAGTTGCCAGCTATGCCAAGCTTTCATTCAGCGCTTCTCAGCTCAAAATCTATCCTCTCTGACCTGCGTTGTAGCACTGGAGCTGGACCCGGTGAAGGGGTCTCCTTTGCCAGCCTGCTGAACGTTCATGTCACCAGGATAGGGCACTTGATTTGGCAGGAAGAGGTAACAGTGACAGGAAGAGATTTCCCTTCAGGTTGAGGGCCTCCGCAATTATTCAGTGCAGTAGCCAGTGGCCCAGGTGGCTGAGCCGGGTGGTGTCCCAGCAGTGCTCTCAAGGTCCTGCTCTCTGCACTGGTGACCATTTCCTGTGCTTGTCCTCTTACAACAGATGGGCAGCTCTACCAGCCACCCCTGACCTTTGCCTTGCAGAGAGTGCCTTCACCGCCACCAGACCGAGTTCCCGTGGCCAGCAGAGCCCCTGGGAAGAGCACTGATCTCAGCCTTTGTGGAGGGGCTAGGAGCTCTCAGGGGCTTCCCCCCTGGCCCTTGGTCTTCGTGTTTTCACTCTCCTCTAGCCCAGAAGTCCTAGCTGCTCTTTTGCTGTTCCCTTAAGCTCTTTAAGAAGTTCCTTTTGGTGGTTAACTGCCTTGAATAGTTAATAATTATTTGCATTTCATTTTCCTTGTTCACTAGAGTGATTTTATTTATTTCTTATTTTTGATTTTTGGTACCAGGGATCAAACGCAAGACCTTGTGCTTGCCAGGCAGGTGCGTGTGCTGCTAAGCTCTATGCCGGCTCCAACTAGAGTGATTTCTGCCTGCTGGCCGGACTCTGAGAAATAAGCCTCTGTTTTTTTCCTGGTAGCTTTTGCTTTAGAAAGACAAAATTGAATGTAGGTCCCAGTGAATTAGAAAACAGATAGCAAAACTATGCATGCTCAAAGCTCATTTATTTAATTTTCACTTTTCTGATGTAGATTTTCTGGCTGGGAAGGATTGGTGCTTACACTGAAGAATCAGCAGGAATTGGGTAACGTGGTCAGGACTTTTAGGGCCTGATGTGAAGGACTTTCCTTGGGTGAGACTGGATAGGAGGCTGAGGTTAGCTGGGGGCATGAGAAAGAAAAAGGAAACACATGCATCACCAGCCACCAGAAACCAATGTGGCTTCCTCAGCTGCTTCTTCAGCTGTGTGCCTCCGCCTGTGTCCCTGGGTAAAACCGTAGTCAGCTGTGTGTAACCACCAGGTCTT